AAAAAAAAAAAAAAAAAGACGGCACAGCCACGTACACCCAAGGTGGTGAGTTCGAATCCAGCCCAGACCCTCCAGGCAACAATGATGGCTGCAATAACAACAAAAAAATGACTGGGTGTTGTGGTGGGCACCTGTGGTCCCACCTGCTTGGGGAGTGGAGGTGGGAGACTCATTTGAGCCCAGGAGTTGGAGGTTGCTGTGAGCTGTAATAATGCCATGGCACTCTACCCAGGGTGACAGCTTGAGGCTCTGTCTCAAGGAAAAAAAAAAAGAAAGAAAGAAAAGTGTTACATACACCTATCACCCACTCACCAAATCCGGGGAACACCTACATCTGGGCTCACAAGCTGGGAAGTCCCAATTGGAATAGGTCTCAGCCAGTGGTTCCTCTTCATGGGTGTGACTTCAAGTGTCTGCTTTGGGGGCTTCCCTCTTTTATTGCTCAAAAGACTAATGCAAAGGTGGTGTGTACAATTCAAATGTGAGCTGAAAGCCTGGGAATGTTTGTCATCCCTTCTGGGAAACTAGCCCTCATCTGGCCCTGGTGTGACCTCTGACCTCCACTGATCTTTGCCTGCTTTAGATGACAAGGGGGAGTAATGGACTTTAGAAAAGGGCCCCCAAGGTGGGTGGAGGAGGGGCAGCTAAACCTTCCAGCTGGGGCTGTGCAGGCCACAGGACCAAATAAGGGCGTGTGTACCACCACCCTCAGTACTGAAGTTCAGAGTGTGGTGTGCAAAAGGGCCACTGGGTCTGCGGAGAGAGGCACTGTTACCCAGGCCTGCTGGAGTTCAGGGGTGGAGGCTGTGCAGCTGCCTCTGCCTGCAGGGCTGGGTTAGGAAGAGGGGACCTGGGCCCGCAGGTAGGCTTTCTTAGCAGAGGAGGTGGGAAGGGGGCTTCTTTTGGCTGCATCTGGTGACTGAAGGGCCCAGCAGCCCCGCAAGTTTCTCACAGCATGTTCTTGACTCCCTGAAACGGTGCGCGCGCGAGTCAGGCTGAGTTAGGAGAATGTGTAGGAAAGGACAGAGGTTGATGATATGCAGCCAGCAGGAAAACAAGTATTGTTTTTATGAGCTCTCAGGACAAAGAGGCCAGCTTGTTCACTTAGCACTGACGTATCTGACCAGGTTAGGAATTTGGGGTCTTTCTGGGCGATGGCAACTCTATGTTTGCTAAATACAGTCCAGGGAAAGAGCTGCCAGGCTTGCAGGTGTCCCGTGGAAAGACTGGCAAGAGTGGCTTTCCTCTGCTGTGTTTGACAGCTTCTAAAAAGCAATCCACCTGCTTCTGACACATATACCGAGACTGGTGGGTTCAAGCCCTACCCGGGCTTGCTAAACAACAATGACAACTGCAGCAACAACAACAACAAAAAATGTTATTGACAAATGAATGAATGCAGTCTCCAGCTTGGGCAAAAGGTCAGGGTATTCCCTACGTGACATTGCCCAGGCTTAGGAAAACTGTGGTTCCTTGTCCAGCCTTGAATGGGACCCGTGTCACGTGGATTAAAGGTGTAAGGTGTAAGCCACCATGCCCAGCTTACCTGTGTCCTTTAAACAGCCTTCCATGTGGCTTTTTAATGTTCTAAGTCATGCTCAGACGTCCCCTTTAGGGACAACTTTGGAAGTTCTGCCTTTACCCTCTGGTCTCCTGTGCTGGTTTCTTATGAGGAAACCCACCTGATTTGAGCTGTAGAGTCATGGAGTGCACAGACCACAGGTCTCTGAATTTGAAGGTCTAGTGCACGATCCAGCCCTGCAATACCGCAGAGCTTCCCTTTTATCCTTCCTGCGCTGAGCGGGCCTCCAAGACAAGTGTGTGGACTGGAGCTCTGAGAGGACAGCGGTGTGTCAAGGTCGGGGGTTCAGCAGTGGCTGGATGCAGTCCTCACTGTCCTGTGTCCCTGTCCCTTGCCAGCTCCATCTTCAGATTTGTCATCTCTGCTTCACGGGGACAAAACCTGGCCAGAAACATGGCTCTGTGGTCCATAGGCAGCTAATTTGGTCAGAGTGCCTCAGCTTTACATCTCTGCACACTGACCCAGGTGGGTCAGCATCTGAGAAATTTCCCTACGCTTTCATTAAAGTTGCAATAAAAGCCGTGAAGGACCTGGCTACTAATGAAGGGAGTTATCTAGGAACTGTAAGCTCAATACCTGATCACCATTCCTTACAGGCCTGCAAAGGTCTAGATTGGAAAGCAACTCGCAGCCCGGGGACTGCTGCAGAATTCCTGTCTATGGTGAAGCAAATCTGTCAGTGGGTCGTGTCACACAGGAGGGCGAGGCCAGACGTTCTTTCAGTGGAAGGCTTGGCTGCTCTTTGGGGCTTGGCTTTGACTTTTGTGTTGGCTTTGAATTACACGTGATTTCCAAGGAGGAGTGTCACTTACCAAGGTAAAATTGTGTTCTTTACCGTGTGTATACTCTGTTACATCCCAGTCAGCCTCCTCAGTGCCTGTGTAACTCCTCACTGTGCGTGTACTGAGTATCTCTTCTTTTTTTTTTCCTCATTGCCTGGACTTTTGAACTGAGTAATTGTCTTCTGTTGTGCCCAGATCACAATGTCCCCAAGAACCACCAGGAAGCCAGGGTCTGATGCAAGAGCAGGAGAGTTTATTCAAGCTCTGGAGCCCGGGTCTCCAGTATCTCGGCTGGGGCGGGGCTGGGGCGGGGCTGGGGCGGTGCAGTGCAGTGAGATGGGGCTGAAGGTCCCGTTCTAAGGGGAGGGTGGCTTTTATGGGCAAGGGGAAGGGAGTGTGACCTTTACATGAGGTCAGGTCGTGCACCTTTCTGATTGGTAGAGGTCACTGAGTTGGAGTCATGGGCCTGTGTCCTAACTTCTGAGAACCTGAAACTTAACTTCGGGGAAACCAAAACGTAAGCTCAAGATCACGGAGGTCTTGTTCTTTCACTTCTTTTTTTTCTTTGAGACAGAGTCTCAAGCTGTCGCCCTGGGTAAAATGCTGTGGTGTCACAGCATCAGCAACCTCAAACTCTTGGGCTTAAGCAGTTCTCTTGCCTCAGACTCCCAAGTAGCTGGGACTACAGGTACTTGCCACAATGCCGGCTATTTTTTTTTGTTGCAGTTGTCATTGTTGTTTAGCTGGCCCAGACTGGGTTTGAACCTGCCAGCCTCGGTGTATGTGGCCAGCACCCTATCCACTGAGCTACGGGCACCACCCTGAGTAATTGTCTTCTAACCAGATCTTTCCAACTGTGAAAGGAAGTAAATGAATTGAACTTTTCAGGGACTTATAAGGATAAGAAAGTATATGTACAAATGTTACCGGAATTTCTTTATTCAGTAGGTCCTTGGTCTCTGGGATTCAAGGAATGAACCCGTGGACCACACATCAGTAGTAAGATAGGATTTTATTAGACAAAAAGGAACACGGAAAAGGTAAAAAGCACCAGAGCTGCTGTCAGAGGAAAAGACCCAAATGGGAAGTTTGGGTCTACATGGGCTCTTTATTTAGGGTTTTTGGATCTTGAGAATTAATTACACTTGGCCAGGACTTGGCAAACGGAGACACATTTTTAAATGAATGAATGCAGTCCTTCCAGCTCAGGGCAAAAGGTCAGGGCGTTCCCTTCATGAAATTGCCCAGGGCTAGGCAATTGGGGCAAAACTCGGGTCACCTGTCCAGCCTTGAATGGGGGAACTCTATCAAAAATACCTTAAACTTTTAGAAGGAGCAAACACTTAATATGTTATCTTTATTTGTTTTTCCTTTATTTGTTGTGCCTATAAAATGCATAAACCTCTGTCCCCCATCCCATCTTTCCCTCTCCCTTTCCTTTTTTTTTTTTTTTTTGAGAGAGTCTCACTTGGTCCCCCTTAGTAGAATGCCATGATGTCTTAACTCACAGCAACCTCAAACTCTTGGGTTCAAGTATTTCTCTTACCTCAGCCTCCCAAGCAGCTGGGACTAAAGGCACCCACCACAATGCCCAGCTATTGTTTTAGAGACGGGGTCTCACTCTGACTCAGGCTGGTCTTAAACCTATGAGCTTAAAGCTCAGGCAATCCACCTGCCTCGGCCACTCAAGTGCTAGGATTATAGGTGTGAGCCACCACACCCGGCTCTCCTCTCCCTCTCCTTTTTAAAATACTCCCTAGTCCCTGCACTTCTACTTTGGGAGCCTGATCCAAGAGGATCACTTGAGGCCAAGAATTCAAGAACAGCCTTGGCAACGTAGCAAAACCCCATCTATAAAAAAATAAGAAAAGTTAGCCAAACATGGTGGCACATACCTGCAGTCCCAACTATTGTTATGGGGTGAGATTAAGGACCACCAACTCAAATTAGAATTTCAAAAGGAGTCTTTTATTAACCGTGGGGCTGACTCAGCAAAATCTACAGCAGACTAAGAGAGAGCATTGAGGGGTCTGAAGTTGGCAAAGCACCAAACAGGTGGGCTGAAAGTTAGGATTAGAAGCAAAAAGAAAGTTGGCAAAAGAAGCAAAACGTGAGCACGAGGTCACGATGACCTCTTTTACAGAACCGAACCTTGTAATTTAGCAGTTTAGCCAATAGGTGACATAAAGGGCAGTTAGATAACAATAAAGTAACATAATGCAGATCTGTCTCAAAAAAAGAAAAAAACAACTCCTTTGATGCTTCACTCTTTGTGAGTTCACAGTTTTTATCTATTCTTCATAACAGTCCTTCACTGTTAACTCACCAATTAGATTTCTACATGTCGGCGCCAGCCACATACACCTAAGGTGGCGGGTTCGAATCCCCAACCCAGGCCCGCCAAACAACAATGATGGCTGCAACCAAAAAATGGCCAGGCATTGTGGCAGGCGCCTGTGGTCCCAGCTACTTGGGAGGCGGAGGCAGGAGACTCGCTTGAGCCCAGGAGTTGGAGGTTGCTGTGAGCGTGATGCCATGGCACTCTACCTAGGGGATAGCTTGAGGCTCCGTCTTCAAAAAAAAAAAAATATATATATTTCTACATGTCACAAAGAATGTTGAGAGATACATAGGAAGAATTATGTAGAAGGAAGCTTGTTACAGTTTCATGACAAAAGGGAAAATGAGAAACAAGTAATGACAGGGAGGCTTTTAAATTTGTGGAGGAGGAACGCTGTCTGGGATGGGGGTGGGGGGTGTGTGTGTGTGTGTGTGCGCGTGCGCGCTCACTCCCCAGAGCCCTCGGGGTCACTCAGGTGTGTGAGGTTTCCTACCTAAGATTACTTCGTAGACCAAATGGTTACTGCAGTACCAGCCAGCAAGAGGAGGGACTGGGCAAAGGTCTCTGAAGGAAGGGTCCTCAGCTGACTCCCAGCTCTTCTGTTTACACTCTGCCATAGTTTGTCTAAGGCAGAATTGTAACTTTGTTAGAGAGAAGACAGAAACTGTGTGAACACTGTTACTTGAATGATGGCCTTGAACTGAGTAAGGGCTGACCTTTAAGCAAAGGACAGCTGAGGTAGTCAGTTGCTCTTAAAGAAGTGTTTTCTTTTTTCTTTTTTTTAACAGAGGCAGAGTCTCACTTTATCACCCTTGGTAGAATGCTATGGGATCACAGCTAACAGCACCTCCAGCTCTTGGGCTTAG